CCTACTTAGTATGTGCCAAGTTGTGATCTCCTATTAAGAACCTGATCATGCAGCTTATAGTTTAGGGTAGGCACAAAGGCTCGAGATCAAAGTATCTTCTATACACTCGCAACTTCACTTCTCCAACCCCATCCCCCAATGGCATTCTCTTCAAGCTTCTTCATTCCTGAGGCTTCACAAATCTTAATAACTATATCTCTCACGGCTCTCACCTCATCTACACTGGCACCTCCATTGAGTGCACCCCGCAAATGCCCCTTCAATTGAGGGTTCACCTTTAAAGCTTGGCTTCAGCATTACACATGGTTTTAGTGCAGCCCAGTGGCTGCTCAGAAAACACACTTACATCCTGGGGAATGAGACTAGCAATGAGTACGAAAGAGGTTTCGGCTGGTGTAAGCACATCAGTGTTGCTGAGTACATACCCATATGTCAACCTCGCCAGCAAGCCCAAGTCTGGCGCACCTGACTGGTCTAGTTGTCCCATTATACGTCTGGAAATCTTACCATATATGGCATCGAAGAAGGCTTGTCCTCGCGCGAGCACTTGTGCTAGCGCAGTATCGTGTATGTCCTTGTGTCTGAGAGATGTGCCCATCCCTGGTTCGTCTAGTAGGTATTCAGGGGTTGCGGACTTGAGAGACATCAGAGCATTAATCGACTATCCGAAAATGTCAGCATCGAGGTGAGTTCATCCTACTCGTGGCCTGCGAACCTTGGGCATGCCTCCCACGGCAGAAGCTTTCAAGAGGGCTTCTCTGAGACGTCTAGAGATGCGCAACTGATCGTCCCGGCTCGGAATATCATTCCCAGTAGTTTCTGAGCCTTCCTCTATGGCATTCTTGAAAACCTCTGGTAGCTCGTCCGGTCTATTGAGGGCCGATAGAGTGGTAGCGGTGACAAAGTACCATGTATTACGTGGAAGATTTGGTTGTTTTCGAATAGCGGCAAGCAGTGTTGGGGTAAGGATGGGCTTCATTGCTGTCATGATGGTATGCGGTATCTAGGAATGGGCCTAAAATAACGACAAGCTCATTTACATCTCTGCATTGACTCAAGATCGCGATTTTATACGACATCAGTCTCGCTAGCTGATAACTCGTCTAGCTTTAGGGTAGTAACTTTTGATCAGCCATTAGTGCCCCTGGTATTATAAATACCCAATACACGGTAAAATATCGGCTTTACCTTCGTACGTGACGTGCGGTAAACCTTACCTAGGTTCTCACGTCAGAGCAGAATCACGTGCAACGGCTCGGCCCCTGCGTCATCGGTCGTGTGTCGCTCTGCTTAACGTGGCATCAAGTCGTCGGCTGTTCTTTGATACAGTGAAGTAATTACAGCACATTCACCAAAAGTTACACCTCCGAATCCAACTCAATCATGGGGATAGAGGAGTGATTGGTTACTTTTTTACATTTTAACAAGTACCCAATTTACTACCCATTGTTCAACTCCCATGCCCAAGATGCGACTTGGCTGGTATGCTGGGGTAAGTATTGCTGTGGTGGGAGAGCTTGGGGAAGCTATATGGAGCTATAGCTGATCACTCTGGACCAATGCTGACTTTTTGCTTCACAGGCCTCGACGGCCCTCGCGGGTTGTGTTGTCCTCTCGGCCTTCTATCAGAGGGCCAACTTTTACTCGGCAATGGTATATCTCGCTCAGAGCAACTTTTGTTTGCTGGTACGTTATCCCGCGCGATCCATGCACCCTGAACTCACAATGTCCAGGTCTTGGTCAACTTTTCCTTCCTTGTCTATAGCAGCTTCGTCTACGGTCTTACGCGGATGTTCTTTGGCCCTCTCCGCGCCGTCGAAGTCGAGCAACTAACCGAACGTGCTTGGTTTGCGATCACAGAGACATGTCTAGCAATGACCATATTCCGCGAAGAGATAGGAGCCTGGTTTCTGGTTATGTTTGCAGCTCTGGTGACAGGCAAGGTGTGGGGATGGATTGGTGATGGGAGAGTTGAGGTCCTCGAGCAGCAACCGCCTGCGAACCCTCGCTTGTTCCATTTGCGACTCAGTGTGTCGCTCACGCTAAGCTTCATCTACGACATCTACATCCTCCGATACACGATCAATACTGTTATTCAACAAGCACGACCCAACATGATGGTCATGTTTCTTTTCGAGTTTGCAGTCTTGGCTACCAGTTCATGGCGGACTGCAGCCCGGTATGCGCTGTCGCTGACGGAGCAAAATATCCAGGAAGCGCAGAAACGTAAGCGACTGGCTGAAAGGAGACAAGAGGTCAGGCAAGAACGTGAGGCCATCATCCGACGACGTGAAATAGCGGCTGCCGCTGGCGAGGAAGTTTCGGATGAGCCACTGCCCAACGAGGACGATATCGATGAAATGGATATTGAAGTACCAGGTTGGTCTGCAAAGGGAGAGTTTGTGCTCTGGCTGGACCTTATCACAGGTATGTTGAAAGACAAAAAAAAAAAAAAAAAAAAAAAAAAGAAGGAAAAAAAGGCTTGGAGGGGCACTACTGACATTGACAGACTTGGTCAAACTTGGTATCTACATTGTGTTCTTCTTCATGCTTCTGGCTTTCTATGGACTGCCCATTCATATTATGAGGGATCTCTTTATGACAGCCCGGGATTTCATCAAGCGTCTGGGTGCCTTATTGCGATATCGAAAAGCCATTCAAGAGATGAATCGTTATCCCGATGCAACCCAGGAAGAGCTCGAACGAGAGGACACCTGTATTATCTGCCGTGAGGAGATGCGACCGTGGGATCCAGAGAGCAACCCAGGTGCGATGGATAGAATTCGACCCAAGAAGTTACCTTGCGGACACATCTTGCATCTCGGCTGCCTCAAGAGCTGGCTCGAGCGACAGCAGGTTTGCCCTACTTGTCGAAGCCCTGTTACCCTTGGTGAGACAGCTCCTCGTGCAGGTCAGAACCGGGCTGCTGGTCTTCGAATTGAGCTTGGAGGCAGGCGTCCGGCGAACCAACCAGCAGCAAACCCCGGAGATGCTCCTGTTCAGGGGCAGCAGAACGGAGGAGCACAACCTGAACAACGGCCCGCTGGTCCTCGTATCTTCAACATTGGCCCTCTTCGAGTGGGATTTGGCGCCAACGGACAACAAGTCAGAGAACTTGCGCAACAATTTGGCGTGCCACCAGCTGCTCCCAACCCCCAGGGGCTGGCACCCCCAACACCGGGCGCTGGCACCCCTGTAGTTGCTGGCCAGACTGCTCCTGCGACTCCCCTAAATACTGGAGATAACCTGCAGAATGTTGGAACCTTGATCAGTCAAGCAGACCAGCTGATCCAGCGTGAGATGCAGTCGTTGCAGCTTGCGCATCAAGAATTACAAACCATCCATCTTCTCCAGGCAGAGTTATACCGTCTCAGACAGAGACAGCAACATTCAGAACAACACCCAAATGTACAGACACAGGCCGTACCTCCTACTGCGGTACCTCTTCCCCAACCTCTAATTCCCCAGCAATTCTCTATGACGCCCCATATGTCCATGCCTGCAGGTTTCCCCCAATTCCCAGGCATACCTCCGCGACAGCCTAGCCCCCTTATGGCTCGCCATGGTGCTCCCCTTAACGCCGTACCTATCCCCGCTGGCAGTGCTGAGCTCCCAGAAGGCGTCGTCATCCCTCCTGGCTGGTCTCTGCTTCCTCTACAGCGTCTTGATGGCGGCCAAGCCTCGACGCAACCTTCGCCGCAGGTTGGCCCTCAGGCAACTGTTGCAGATAATATTAATGTACCTCAGACAACGTCTACTGTAAGACAACCCTCGCCAATCGGTAGTCGTAACCAGGAAGCTCAACCGGCTGAGAACCCCTCTTCGACTCCAACTGAACAGCGGCCCCCTCAACTTACACCACAGTTCACTCGCGCGGTTGAACCACCCCAGGTCGTTGCGCCTAGCCCTCGCATGCCCAATTGGGGGGGTTCGGCCCAACTGTTTGGCAACGGATCTCGCCTGGACCATGCCAACTCTGTAACGCAGAATGAGCCTGAGGCCGAAGGAAGCTCAAACCAAACTGGCCCTGTTGAGGCTACGCCTCAGACGAGTCTAACAGCTGAACATACCCCACAAGGTACTCCACCATCCCATAGTGATGAAGACGAGGCGTCTGAAATCGACTCAAAGGAGAAGGGCAAGGCGAGAGCCGTAACTGTCGAGGATGCCGAGGATGAGGAAAATGTTAAGGACTAGTTGTGCCTTGGGTACCAATAGGCATTCTATGCACGTATCATTCTTTGCACCCATCTCTGTTGGTCTAGTGAAGACCAAGACTGCATTTAAATTTCCCGATTGCTAGCGGCATGGAGTTCACAGGAGTTATGTACTATTTGTTCGCCTCAATGGCATGCATGACAGGGAAGCCTCACCCCGAAACATAAGTTTGTTGAAGACAGTATTGTACATCTGAAACTTGGGTATGCAAGCTACCCAAAGCAATCTGCAATTATACAAGTATGAGCAGACCGGAAAACACCTTTCCATGATGAGTGCGACTAGTTAAGGCACGCTGATGAATCGGCGAAGAGCGTTGGTGAATCAAAAGCGCGAAAAATAAAAACGTAATGAGAAATGCAAGATTGAAAGAGACCAAAGAGCATATGATAGAATCCAAAGACGATTCAGAGGCAAGTCCTACTCTTTAACGACACCGTAAAGGCGCTGCCACAGTGTCCATATTTCAACAAAAATACATCCTCCTCCCTCTTCCTCTGCTGTTGACAAGGAATCCTCGAAGCTTATTGACGAGATGGCACAAGGGAGCCAAAATAACAATGACAAACAAGGAAAAGCTGACCCGCGTCCATGCCGCACATACCCAAGTGCCCCTCGTCGTACCTGTATCTATTACCGTGTCCGCTCATAGCCATGAAACGGTAACGCATTGATCATTCCTTCTTAATTCTTCCCCATCCTCGTTTGTCGTAGTGGGAGACGATAAACCCTTCGGTAACTTTCCCTTGTTCAATGGACTTAGCTGGTGCCCAGATGACCTGCTATGCGTTAAGAGCATCTAGCTCCTCCTCCTTAGGTGGCACGGGTGTCTCATATTGCGGTATATCTTCATCCTTCTCCCAGGCAGCGCCAGGCCCGGTATAGCTCGGCTCGGGAATCGTAGTCGATTGCGAAGTTGATTCGGGTTCGAGACGGCCACTGCTCATGTCACGCAAGATGCCTGCCGACCTTTCGCCTTTTACCGGCTGTGGGCTGAGCACACCTGCAGCAGACTGCGCGACATAAGTAGGTGACTTGGCATCACCCGAACCAAAGGGTAATGAACGTGTTGGAATCTCTCGACTCACTCCTCCTTCTCGACCCTCGTCTCCTTCGCCACCGAGCTTCTTTAACAACGCATCCGATTGCTGCTTAGCAAGCTTCTGGAGCTGTGCTAGCGGATCCTGGTGATGTAGCACCAAGTCAGTCACCTCGCACAGGCAGTCTGTCGGTCTCCAACGTCTCCCATGCACACATACCCAGTCAGACTGCGTAGGCACGCCTTCAGCCTCAGGAAGTTTCTTTGCTGCTTCGTCCTCATGTTCCCCGTCGTCTTCCGCCCAGAACGAGTGCCGATGAATTGGGGCCGGTGTGACCGGCAAGCTGGGGCGTTCTGTAGCGCTCGGGAAATCGGTGAGTTTCAGGCCGCGGTTCTTAAAGGTGCTGCGATCGTCCCTCCATGCGCCAGTTGATGGGCTCTTCACACGCCCTATCGTAGAGGTCGAACTCTTACCACGTCGATGACCACCATGCAGGCGATCAACGTACCGCTCGATCTCAGGCACCTCATCCCAGGCGTTTGTGCGTGTGTATGACGTCCAAGGGTCTGATGGGGTAATCTGCACTATAGGAGTAGATGCATTCGACTCGTTCTTCGCCCCAGATCCTGATGCTGTCACCTCAGAAGACTCTGTAAGACCTTCAGTTGTCACCGAAAGCTGTGTTGTAGACACAGTGCTGGGATCTGAGCCGGACTCTGCAGGTGTGGGCTCTGGTTCAGGCGCGGATAGTTCTGGTTCCCCAAGGAATGATCTGGTTGGGCGAGGTCGGTTGCGTTCCCACGGAAAGATCTCTGGAGCTGGCTTTGATCGTGGGGCTGGCTTCTCTTTTGGTACTTCATACCACATGTTCTTTGGGGGACTTGGGTATCGTTCAGGCGGGATAAAAGGGGCTGTATCGCGTGACATTTCGTAATGAGTGGAAGGGAAGTTCATAGCCTCGGGTTTCGAATCAGCAGGAGGAGGATGTCTGGCAAAGTCAGTGTCTCATGTTCAATCAAGCACAGCATTTACAACGATGATATGCCTACCTCTGAGCATCCCAATCATGCATTGTAATCTGGGGTGGCTCGTTCTTTGGTTCTTCGTGGTGATGGTGCTGATGTTCAGAAGCGTGTTGTCCGTGATGCTGTTCATGGTGATGCCCAGGAATAGAGACCGGCCGACCACTAGGAGGTGCAGGATGGTGATCATGATGAGCCGAACCAGAATCTGACCCATCATGATATCTGCCATCATGGTGCGATCCTTCATGGGGCCCAGATCCTTCTGATTGATGGTGTCCTGAGCCTTGCTCCTCCCAAGATGCATGGTGTTCGTGAGCTGGAGCTGAATGATGCGTTCCCTCAGCTGAAACGGAGCGGTGGTGTTCACTGGTAGAAGACTGCGCGTGGACCAGCTGAGGGTGCCATTCTCCCTTTGTGAAATATTGGACATATGGAGTAGGTGAAGAAGCATTGCCAGAAGATTCCTATGAAAACGAGTCAGACACACAACAATGCCTGCAGGAATATTGAGCTTACTTGATGTCGGTAATGCCTATCGTAGACTGCCCACCATCGGCCTATCATCTCACTGAAGGGGTTATTGCCAGAAGGGGCATCTCGACCAGTGAACCATGGCTTGTTGGATCCGATGAAATGCACCATATTAATACTTGATTGGAAGTGTCGATACGCCGGGACGTATTGGTAGTGTGCAGATGGTGTGACGTTGTAAGTGAAGCTCAATCGATGATACCGTTGACCAAAATGCATGTTGATGAGGCCTTGGTCGGCGCCATCAAACGAAATTCCCCTCTCAGCCATGGCAATCATAGCGTAGTAGTCGCCCATATTGGGTTCCAGAACCATGACGCCAGTGTTGAAAAGATCTGGCCAGCCGATGTCCGGGGCAGCTGCGAATGGATGGGGCGTGTCGAAAAGCTCGTCAGGAGCTCGATATGCTACCACATCAGCGTCGATGTAGACAACCTTGGAAAACTGTGTGAGACTCCATAGATTGATCTTGGTAAACGCTGAATGCAGGTCGCCACGGTTCATTAGGTACAGATTGGCCGGGTGGTCATTACGAATGCGCGGCACAGGGAAGATGTAGTCGTAGACCCTCTGGGGCAATTGTGTCAGCATTGGGTGGTTCGAGGACGGGCAGACACTCGGGAGGGCTTACCTTGAGCTGCGTAATGGAGTCAGCGGACACGGTATCGAGTGTGACCAATACTGCTAGCTTGCGACTGGCTCCTGCATCGCGAAGAGAGTGAGCGAGAACGAGTGCGCCTAAAGAAGAATTAGTCGAGGTCACAGAGAGCGACAGAGTCAATTGACGGACCAGGAAGATAGGAATCGCTCAGAAGAAGCTATCTGCAAGTTAGAAAGGCAATGCCGGCAAGATCAGACACGCAGAGGACGAACCGTAGCATAAACATGCTCTCCAGCACCTTGAGCAGCCATGGCGATGTAGGACAGGAGTTGACCAGCTCTAGACGAGCCTCGGCGCAGATCATCCAAGTCAGCTACAGCAAAATGAGAATGTCGGTCAGCAACCCATGGATGAAGGTTCTAGAGAAGTCGTAATATTGAGATCGATCTACAGAGGCGCGTTCGTCGAGTCGAGTCGAGGGGTCCAAGTCCAAGTCAGCAAAAAGGAAGAGAGAGCTCGTTTGGATCTAGCAAGGATGCGGTGCGTTAGTGCAGACAGAATACGCAAGGTAAGGTACTGCAGTGTATGTATCCTTAGTGTACACTAGGTTCTGAAACAATACAAAAGTGTGCAGTAACCTGTATCCCTCTTTTGTCTGAAGCCAAAAGATTAGGATAGAGTTGGAGGGGAAGGAGAGGCAGAAGAGGAGAGTAGAGGTGAGCGAAGTAAAAAGTCAGGCGTGACGTGAGGATGGCAGCAACAGCACTATTTGGGGAGGTACTCGAGGTATCCGTAGATCCAATGGACCCAATTGATGTGATGATCCGATGATGGCCCCCGGACGATTTTGGAGGGGGAACCTGCCCTGCTACCTAATCCATGGAAAGTATCCGTACCTTAGCTCCTGTGGGTCGGTCAGGTCGCCTACCTAGCTTTTGGACTAAGGTACCCACATAAACATCCATCACCTGTGAGGCACTACCTCTCACTACCTTACCTACATATCAACGGGCAGGGCACGGATGAATGTCAAAACAGCTCGCTGTAAAGTTACTAGTGAGATTCTTGACCTTTACTCTGTAGGTTGACCCGAGATGGCCGGTCGTTTACCATGGTGCACCTCAGTTCATGAACAGCAAGTAACCAGAACAACAAAAATCTCATTCTTTTCGTTCAAGTTACATCTAAAGTGAGTCCTCGGGGTCTGACCCTTCAGGTACTAAACTCTACTTCAAGCCACAGTGACCCTGAGGAACTTTGCAGTTCTAGAAGCGCCGAGGCCAGACACTCACTCTATTTTCTGCCATTCAAGGGCAACTCCAGTACGAACACCGGATAAAAAGTAATCCAATTACTGTCAGAATGGCCCCCCCACGTTCGTACAGAAGAAATTGAGGTTTCACAGCCTCCAATTCGTTGCACAGAACCTGGGACCGTTTTGGTGTTTCCCTGCCCAGCCTGACGTCCACCTCAGGACATTGCATCTCCGTATTTCGGGGCGGGTTTCCGCTGGTGGCGGCTCTAGTGAATCGCCACTAATTTCAACGGCTGCATGATGATGGAATTGGATTGCTGTGAGCTACCTAGTATGTTAGCTTAGCTCTCATGTAGGTATCTAACTGTAGGTTCGACCTCATCACTTCTTGGCCAGGTCATTTTTAGCTGATGATATCCACAAAGCATAACACCTCAAGGTTTCCTTACTGCTTTTCAACATCTCCAATTCTCGTATTATCAAAATTCCAGGGATGAACTCGGAACGGGCTTCTGCATACAGCCCGAACTGGACATATTGCCCCTTGTAAGTTGCTGCGAGTATGCGACGCACCGTTGAGATACGTGCATCTAGGTAATCTCAACCATTCCAGGCTGGTCCCCTTGAGATATTAAAAGGCTCAACATAAGAATTGTTTATCTGCGCGAAAAATCCCGCTCTGTCCGTGCCGCAGGACCCCTTTCCCGTCCCTTGAGCTATTATAAAGACATTCAAATCTCCCCAGCCCGTGCCAGATGCCAGTCTCGAAGAAAAAAGTTGTACAAGTGACGTAGATTCCTGTGACTTACTACCTTAGTACCTTGTCTTGCAGATCAGCCTGTGTGCCACTCGGACATGGCGCACCGAGACAATCTGTAAGATCGGGACAAAGACACGCGAGACGAGTAGAAACCGTTCATGCCAGTTTGTCTCACTTCACTTCATATCTCAAATTTGACATATAGAAATTACTAGAGAAAAAAAAGTGCCCCTTGTGTGTTCCCAGATCTTAGCGCCTCTGAAATGCCGGCATCTGCATTAGCTCGCCTCGACCTAGTTTAATCGTGCTATCAGCTTGATTTATATGCATCACACGCTCTCGCCTGCATAGTCCACGTGAGCCACTGTTGCATTATGAGGCTTTGCTTCTGCCCCAAGAACCAACTAAGATATGATTTGCACCATCGCTCCCTGCTTCCCGTTGGGTCTCGTCATCACGCCTTCTGCCCCCTACGAACAAATGTCCTTTAGTCGTGTACCCAAGTACGGCATTTAACTCAGTTGTCTCACTACATAAACTCCAAACTCCTCCCCAGCCACTCAGGATGCCTTTCGTGGCCCAGAACTCCTCTGGAAACACATTCTGTAGTTAGACCTACATATCCTTCTTAAATGCATGTTCTGGTTTGTGTGTCGTCTCGTAATCAATGTGGACATATGCTCGCTCAATGTCTGGCAGATCCTCCAGCTTGATCTGCAGCGCCTCTGCTATATCATGGCTTTCTTGAAGTGTTTGTGTCGGATCCATGACAATGTCCACTTCGGCGATCAGGCGAGGACCCGAGTGATACACGCGTACGGTATCGATGCCAACAACTGCGTCATCATGTGTAACACATACATACGTGATGAGCTGCTGCGTTTCGACAGATGCAGTAACTCCGACGATGAGCAGAAATTCTCCAAAGGCGGTGTGTAGCCAGATGCATGAGATGAGGACAGACAGAATGATAGCGCCCATAGGGTCAATCCACCATTTCAGTTTCGCGCCACCACATGAAGTCAAGATACCAAAGCCATTGATAAAAAGGTCGTTGCGGTGGTCCTGCCATAGAATGTTGATCTGGCTGTACTTGTCCTTGAGTGCCCAGCAGTAGAGAAAGAGTACGAACTTGGTGGCGAAAGCACAGCAGACAGACATAACAGCAGCAATTTTGAATTCCTTCTCTTGGACTCCCCTAGATAGTTCTTGGCAAGCAAAAGCAATGATAATGAGTGAGACAGCGATCATGAGAAAGCAGAAGACAATGTTGCCTACAGTCTCGAGACGAGCTTTACCAGCAGGAAAACGCCTAGAATCGACATGGCGAATGGCTCGAGCCGACAAAATGAGGGTGAGGTTACTAAGAGGGTCGAATACGGAGTCGGCCATGGTGGTAAAGAGAGAAAGAGATTTTGAAGAGATGGCAGCGTAGAGCTGAACTCCTGACAAGGCAACATTGGCCGCGAAAGAGCCCCAGACAGCAATGCGAAACTTGAGTTGGTCTTCGCCATGCTGGTCGCGGGCTTCGTCACGATGTTCCTCAACAGACTTGAGCATGCGATCAATGGCAGCATTTTGGTTCTTGTAGAAGCCCTGCAGCTTGCGAGCCTTTGCCTTGGGGCCCATCTTGCTGGGAACAGATCTACGGCCAGGGAGGCTATCGCGCTTCCGTGAAGTGTTGGCCTTGATCTGTTCCAGATCAGACTCGGTCTTGTACCCGCGGGAGAGGCCATATGGATCATGATCAAGGCAGCTGGTCTGTCGGCGACCAGTGGCGGTGAGTTGACTCTCGACATCAGTCATATGAGATACGTTCCTAGCGATAGTCTCATTCTCGTCAGCCATCGCAGGCTCGAAAGCTGTACTCGAGCCATTGCGGGTGGTCGAATGTCGTGAACTGCTGCGGGCACGGTCGAGAGAGCGTAGGTGAACAGCCTGTGGATGATGGACGACGTGGTTGTTGTTATCAGGTGTCATGATGCACAACTAATGAAGAAAGGGATAGAGTGCGACAGCTCGGGTGACTAGTCTCTTGATGAATTATATCAGGGAATCGAGTAAGCAATATCGATGCCTGTGATAATGCAAGATAGCTGTTCTGATGGGTAAGCAATCAATGCAGATGGGAGAGCAAGAAAGGAACCTCAGGCGGCGGTGATCTCCAGAGTCACATCAATAGTAAAGAGTCAGCTACACATGAGATCGAGTGATCGCCGGGAAGATCAAGAAAGGATCAAGTCACTCGTCCAGTCTTGCATCAGTGACTGAATAATTTGAGTTAATGATATCAGTATGGATATGTAATAGAAGCATAGTGAAAGGATTGATAAGTTGCGGTGGGAGTTAACTGTTGAACCAGTCATCTTCCCACGTGGACTCACACCAAAAGAGTAGGAACATAGAGGAAACGTCTTTGATTGTCCTTCCTCTGTTGGTGGATTGCCATTTCAAGGACACTGATAGGTACCTTAGGGGACGGGAGTGTATCCATTCCACTCTCTACAGCACATGAGTCTGTTGGCTACAATGGTCAGCGCCCTGGGCTATCAGAAGGCCAACTGGAGTTAGTGTGAGTCGAGTTCCCCGCGCGAGCCGAAATAGCCCAACGGAGCATCGTTTCCGGGTCATTCAATGTGCGAGGTTCCGAGGCCGTGGGGATCGTTTCACACAAGACGGTTGAAGGCAGACGTTGAAATCGAGTGCGGGAGACGTTGAATTATAGTTCAGATACGGCCCCGAAACGCCTAGGAAACGGCCGGAGCTGGCTTCGGGGTTCCGTGGCTTCTAACCTCTAAGAGCATCTGTTTCTCGGGCGTCTACGGAGCTGGGATATGGAACAAGGGCCCGCTTTGACACGCCGACACATGCATCTCCATTGAGGAATTGATGCCAAGACTGCAGAAGCTGAAGTTATTGATCAAGCAGTTAATCTATTGGCTTTGGTTTGCGAGCTATAGCCGCATTTACCCTGTCAAGAGACAAGTGGTCGGGTGATGATGTGCAGCCAGCTAAAGCATAGCATGACTTATAATACTAATAGCTAACATACTCCGTAGTCTCGCTATCTGGAAAAAGCTGGAAACAGTTGCGCAATATCGAGTGATACTGGCCATCTCGAAAACAACAGAGCTTGAAACCAGTGATGCTCGCCCATCCACAGATCCTCTATAACTACTCTATAGCTTGGCCTCGATCGGTTTCTGGTCTTGGCTGCTCCTCTCCAAGATCCAGTCAGTGATATCTTTGGCATATTCCTCCTGGCACAGGTCGACATGTAGCGCATGATAACCTCC